AAAAAAAAAAAAAATCCCTGCCACCTTTAAGTACTACTTGGCCAGACATCCATTTTTCTTTATTTCACCAGCAAAATACAGTACTTATTAAACTTAAAGCTGCTTTGAAATGTCACCGGGAAACACTCACTGTGATAATAAAGGGCACCGTGTTGATCATCTCCAGGATGAACGAAATGCGAAAAATCTGTTCCCAGATGTTCCCCTGAGGAATTAAAACCAAATAATAATTAAATAAGCTTAAAAGTCTGCCAAATGATAATTGAAAAACTCCCCCTCTGCCAGAGACCCTGCGAGACGGGGGCAGGATGCCAGAGCAGCTGGGAGCAGCTTGGGTTTGCCCGCAGGAGAGAGATGCGGTGCTGGTGGCAGGCACGCTGGAGACAGTAACACCTTCCCCAACTGCCCAGCCCTCTCCGCAGCCACCACGTCCCTCTGTCCGTCCCTGCCGCTGCCCAAAGCCGGGGGACAACAACGGTTCGTGCAAGGATGGAGAATGAGAGGGACCGATACGGATCGCTGGCACCCAAACCAGGCGGGTGACACCGGGTCTGAGTCTCTCTGCCAGCTGTCCCAGGGACCCCGAGAAGGTACCATTTGTTAAGGTCACTTTTCTCGGCTGTTTTAAGGGGCTTTGGTCCAAAGGAGTCAGCCTGTGCCTCTCCCTGTCTGGCTTGGAGCAGTGCCTGCTACCTCCGGAGGCAACAGACCTCGGCAGCAGCAGGGACCAGGCTGCCGAGCTCAGCTCCAGGTCCTCAGCCTTGGGAAACCCACTGTGTGCCAACCCGGCCCCTCATAAAAACCTTGGTAAAACAGCTCTGAGTGTAAAAAAAGGTGGAAAAAGAAGAGATCCCTGCGCTCTGCTCTGCCAAACACTTCTCAAGCAGCCTGAAGTGGAGCGAGAAAGGAAAACAGCCGTAGCCCGCTGAGACATCACCGAGACCAGCGTCCTCTCGGGACGCTTCGGGCTTCAGACAGCTCAGAGAAGGAGAAATGACTTCACGCCAGGGGGTCAGACCCAGACCACGCATCACTGTCCACCGCCCGCCGCGGGGAACTTACCTTGTAGCTGAGATAGATGAGCAGCATGGTCTCCAGAAAGCTGATTAAAGCTATGCTGACCTGCGGAGACAGACAGGCACAGGCTGCTGCGGGCTCGTCCGACGCGGCGCCAGTCGATCAGAGCTCTGCCGAGCCCTGTGCGATGAGGAGCCCGTGGGTGTCACGGACACCGGCAGCCCTGTTCGTTTGATTTCTCTGCACCCGTTCGTGCCAAGGTTTGCAGCCCTGAGCAGAAGCCGACGGGCACTCGACCTCCCGCAAGCGATTCGATGCCCCGGGGACCGGCGCATCCTGAAAATCGCCTGTTGCTGGTACAGCTGCATCCAGGCGGGGCAGGAGCTCAGCCAGCCGCACGATTCTATCTTCCCACAGCTTGTCCTCTCCTATCCGCCCCAGGATTTCCACCCAGGGCCGTGTTGTTGCTCCCAACAGAAGCCCCAGCCCATTTTCTGCTCACCCAAGAGAACCCGTTGCCCCTCGCTGTTGCGGGCAGAGGATGCCCAGGGACCGGCTGGCAGCAGAGCTCCAACGCCAGCTCCTGCTGTGCTTCTGCACGACCACGCCCCAGGTCTGGGCACTCACCTGCACAGCCCACAGCGGCATTTTTCTATCCACCCAGAAGATGTGAGACCTGCAAAGAAAATTCAAAATGGATCTAAACTGTAGCCCCAGCAGTGCCTTTACCCCCCACCAAATGCAAATCTGAGGCCATCACTGATGCAGGATCCAGCACAGGACTGGTACTGGTGTTCCTTACTGAACAAGCAAGTTCCTTACTGGTTCCAGCAGCCTCTGCACTGGGAATAAACCATTCCCAAGGGTGCAGCCACACGCACTTGTCAATTGATTTGATCCTGCGATGCTGTGCCACATCCCTTGAGCAGCCCCGTGACCAAGAAATCACAGAATCACGGGATGGTGGGGGTTGGCAGGGACCTCTGGGGATCCCCCAGCCCACCCCCTGCCCAAGCAGGGTCACCCACAGCAGGCTGCAGCGGCCAGGTGGGGCTGGAATATCTCCAGAGAAGGAGACTCCACAGCCTCCCTGGGCAGCCTGGGCCAGGGCTCCGTCACCCTCAGAGGGAAGAAGTTCTTCCTCGGGTTCAGCTGGAGCTTCCTCTGCTTCAGTTTGTGCCCGTTGCCCCTTGTCCTGTCGCTGGGCACCACTGGAAAGAGTCTGGCCCCGTCCTCCTGACCCCCACCCTGCAGATATTTAGAGGCATTTCTAAGGTCCCCTCTCAGCCTTCTCTTCTCCAGGCTGAACAAGCCCAGCTCCCTCAGCCTTTCCTCGTAGGAGAGACGCTCCAGTCCCCTCCTCATCCTCGTAGCCCTCCGCTGGGCTCTCCAGTAGCTCCTCAAGCTGCCAGCACCAGTCGTGTCCATCACTGCATCCCCACATCCCAGCAGAGCTGGAGCCCAGCACTGGAGCAACTCTCGACTCACCAGTTTATCTTCGTGGACTGGTTGAATGCCGTGTAATTCTGCTTTTCGCATTCCCAGCTAGGAGAAGAGAAAGACAAAGCGGGGGAAAGCCGTCAGTGGGGGGGAGGAAGGTTTTTAACCTCTTATTACTGAAGAGTGAGACCTGTTGGGTACTTCAGCCCATACCAGAGATGCTGCAAAATGGTGATACTTGCCAGGCACGGGGCTGGCCTGGGCAGAGTGCTCCAGCACGGGGCTGCAGCTGGGAATTACCAGGTTCCAGTTAGCAAAATCTGCTCAGCTGCAGCTTCTGGGACAAGGCTAGCCGGGCCCCGGGCAGCCGGGCAGGCAGCACCCAAGCCCAGCCCTCCCCGTGCCTTGCGGCAAGGGATGCGTTCCCACTGGCCGTGTTTCTTTTGCTACACATCCCCCTCCTAAAGCTGTCGATATCTTCTGGACGTGGAGTGGACTTTTCTGAACTGCAGCTGAGCTAAAACCTTTCCAGGATGCGTGTCTGCGTCATGCTGAATTCCGACAGGTTGGAAACCACTTTTGGACCACGCAGATGTACTTAGTACTTGCAGCCTTTACAAAGAGAAAATCAGATTGCTAATTCTCCTAGCTCTTCAAAAAAGCCCGGACTGTATGTGAGCTAAACAAAGCAAGGACATATTAAAAATAGGTTTATACTGAAACCCAGAGCGAAGCTGATGTGTGTAATCATCTGTCACCTCGGGGATCTAAATGGCACAACGTATTTCCTTCCTAAACACTTCAACGGGATTTAGCATGAGTGTCTTCAAGGGCATCAGCGCTCAGAAAATACTTGCACGGCGATGCGCTGAAGTCCTGAGCTCTTGCCTGTGTCTGAAGACTCCACTGCACCCCTGACCAATGGACCCAGCCAGCATCTGGCAGTGGACGTGACCTGGAGTTTTTCCACCACCTTTCCCCCGTGTGCCGTGCAGGGCCAGCAGATGCCCACACGCCTGTCCACGGGGCTTTAGCAGGGAGCAAAGCCCACCAGGACCAGCAAGTTTTACTAAACTACCAATTCAAACAGATGGAGTGAGAAGAACCATCCGTCGGTGCTCTCCGCTGCGCGGGGCGGTGTGGGCAGCCAAAAAAACGGCACTCACCAGCCGATGCCCTCCTCCGGGTTGTCGAGCAGGACACGGACGATGTACAGGAGGCAGGTGAGCAGCTTCAGCGAGAAGTTGAAGAGCCGGATCCTCAGGCCTGTGGCAGAGGGGAGCACGGTGTGGGCAAGGCAGGGTGCCCAGGGCACCCCATGCACCCCGGGCACCCCAAGAACCCCAAGCACCCTGCGGCACAGGTTCTTTCGTTTCCCACAAGCTTTGCAGGGCCCCACTGAGCCCCAGGGGAGCTGCAGGAGCCCCAGGGCAGCACGCAAACGTTGGTCACGCTTTGCCCGGGGCTCTACGCATCCTACCCCGTGTCAGCTATATCGGAGACTAACACAGAAATAAATAACGATGAGTCAGCTCCTTGCTGGCCCCAATAGATGTGAGACAAATGAGGGAGCTGCTGGAGTGTATCCCCCTCATTAGCAGGCATCCATTTAAAAGCATCAGACAGGCAGGGCCAGGGCTCTGCTCCGCTCGCCACGCTGCAAACAGCTTGCAGGAGGAGGGATGGCAAGCAAAAGCTGCTGCTTTATCTGGTCTCCCTCTCCAGCCAGTTTATCGGGTTATTTCTCAAATTACAAGTGAGAAATTCATCACATTTTCATTAAAAACTTCCCCGTGGGCACCCTGTTGTGCTGTGCTTCAGCTTCTTAACAAGACGACAAGATGTGGGGAGGAAAAGAAAATGTGAATTTAAAATTAACAAGCGGACTCTCTCCAGACAGCTAATGACATCTCAGAAAAAGAAAATAAAAACACCATTAGTCAAGCGTAGGCTAATCCAGACGGCTGAGGTGGGAGCAGGTCACTCCCAGCCTGCCTCAGCCGTGCCCACAGCCGCTGACCTCCCTGCAGTCACGGGCAGCATTGCCAGCTCCGTGACGTGGACATTTGCTCCCTGACCCCCCCGGCAGCTCCTGACGCCCATCCTGCTCCCGGCCACTTTGTCCCAGCTGGTTCCCGTGCTATGTTTGTCCCCAGCAAGCAGCAGTGGCAGGCAGCATCCCCTCCTCCCCCTGCAACCACGTCCCCCCAAACCAAGTTGGCCAACACCCAACAGAAAGGCCAAGAGGCAGCAGCCACGGGCTGGGGACACATGGGGAAGCCACCAAGGGGAACCCAGCCACAAGCAGATGGCAGCGGCTTCGCGTCCTGCAGGGACGGAGCACAGCCCTTGAGCTCGGGCAGGGTTTGGTTTCTCCCGACAGGTACTCAGGCTGCACGCATGGAGCACTCACTCGATCGCTGGTTTTTGATGAAGAAGAGCTTCAGCCGCTCCTTGAAGGTGTTTTCATTCACGTAGAACTCGACCTGCACCCTGCGGGGAAAGCACCCAGAGGAGCCCGTCAGTGGGGCAGGAGGTTGGACCCGGAGCCCCCCAGGAGCCCAGTCACCCCGTCCCAGCTGGGTCACCCCCAAGAGCAACCCAGAGCAGACGCTGGGCTCAGCCCACTGTACCAAATCACCAGTACCACCAGCCGCGAGCACCACGAGGTGGCACAGCGATGACCACCAAAGCAGCCAACATGACGCACAGGGCCAGGTCTGCTTTGGGTTAAGGGCTTTGCTTTCATTCACGTACAACCAGCTGACACCGGACTTGCAAACTTCTCCCTTCCCGCACGCTTTACGATGTTTTAAGCCTCTCAGAAAAGCGTTGGCCTTGGAGCAGTCTCCCCCAGCAACGTTTTATCCGCTCCAACCCCCGTGGCTGCAGCACAGCAGGAGCTGGTGAGGGCGATGTCCCCAGAACGCCCATGCCCTGGCTCCGCGGGGGTAGGAGTGGCATTCAGCATCGAAGCTGTTAAAAAACAAATCTGATCTAAAAGGAGAAAAATTCCCATTGTTGCTAAGATACCGCTTTTGGCCATTCCAGAGAAACCCAGGAGCTGCCAACCAACTCCTGACGTCAC